CTCCAGCCTCCCCCCAGCCCTGGAGGACCCGCGGGAGCCATAGAGCGGCGGGAGCCCAGAGCGGCGCCGGGGCCGGGCTCCCGGACACGCCCCTTCCGGGGGCGGTGCCGCGGGCGGGGCGGAAGCGCGGGCTGGAGGCGGTGGCCCCGCTCCCGGTCCCGGTCCCGGTCCCAGGCCCGGCGCTGCCCCGGCCCCGCCGCCATGCGTAAGTTCTTCCAGGAGATCAAGGCCGACCTCAAGTTCAAGACCGCGGGGCCCGGACAGAAGCTCTCGGAGCCATCCCGGTACGGGGCAAGGGGGACTCTCCGGTAACGGTGGACGCGGGGGGGGGGTTGGACGCCGTTCCTGGGCGCTGCCGGCGGCCAGCGGGGCTGGGCGGGTGGGAGCCGGTCCCCTCCGCCCGGCTGCCGGTACTCACGGTCCCTACGGCTGCCCCGGTCCCGGTGCCACCTGGTACTGGGGGGGGTTGCCCGGGGATACCGGGCTGGGACCGACCCCGCCGGGCGCCCCCACGCCGCCCATCCCGCGGGAGGCTGACGCTCACCGGGCAGGGAGACTGACACTCACCGGGCAGCGATGCTGCCACACTGGGGTGACCAGTTCCCTGGCTGCTTCCCCTGGGGGGCACCGGGGTGGTGATTACCGTGAGGTGTCCATGGCCACCGCCGGGCCGGTGCTCCTCCCGAGCTTTGCCGTTCCCCCTCCCGAGCTCTGCCGTTCCCTCCTGCCCAGGGTCCCCAAGGAGAAGCCCAAAGCAGAACCGGCTCCAAAACCTCGTCAGGGACCCACCGATGAAGCCCAGATGGCGGCGGCGGCGGCGCTGGCCCGGATGGAGCTGAAGCCCAAGGCCAAGGTGGCCTCCTCCCAGGAGGCCATCAAGAACCAGGGTAGGAGCTCGCTGGAGGCCGTGGAGCTGCTGGGCCCGGCCTTGGGATGCTCACAGCTCCGAGCTGAACCCGGGGAGGGAGATCCAGGGTGGGTGACTGCTGGGGTGCAGCTCTCCAGGGTGTTGTGGGGCAACCACAGCTTCTGCAACTGCTTGGGGGGGGCATAAAAATGGGGGTCACGCTCGCCCCTGGACTCAGGATCAGACACGACACCCAGGTTTGCTTCCCCGGGGTGCAAACTGCTGAATGTCTGCTCCCCATAACCTGGGTTTGTCTCTCGTAGTGAGAAAGGAGCTGATGGCTGAGGCGGCTGCGAGCCAAAAAGGGCTCTCCATGGAGGAAAAGGTAGGAGAGACGCTGCCCTCCCTGCTCAGCCCCCTTCTGGGCTGCTGTCCCTGTCCCACACGGACACAACAGGGGGTTTAAAACCAAACCCAAACCTTCCTGCGCTCAGTTCAGTGCCTGGTTTTGTCTCCTTTAGGATCTCACCTCCCCAGAGCCAGAAGGGGCAGCCGCACCCTCCGTTTCGGGGGTCTACTTCATTTGCCCCTTAACGGGTGCCGTTGTAAGGAAAGACCAGAAGGAGAAGCACCTCCGAGAAGCCATCCAGTCGGTGAGCACCATGTCTGCCGGCTGCACGGCTTCCCCTCCTCCTGCTTTAACTGGTTTTGTGGTGTGGGTCCTCTCCAGCAGCGACCTCTCCCCCTTCTCCCTGTAAAAATCTCCACTGTCTCCCAGCGGAGCCGTACAAGTGTCCATCCGAGCCCCCTCCCTTGGGCTTGTTGGAAGTGCTGGGACTGGAAACTCTGGCCCTGGGCTGGTTTTGGCTGGGACAGAGTTAATTTTTCTTCATAGCAGCTGGGATGGTGGCTGCAGTTTAGATCTCTGATGAAAACAGCGTTGATTACACACTGGAAGCGGCTAAATTGCGAAGCAGTGAATAAATTCCATTTTGCTTTACCTCTTAATCTTGCCTTTAGCCCAACACATGAGTTTTCACACCCTTTTTCCCTTCCAATTCTCTCCCCGTCCCATCGCGGGGGGGACAAGCGTGATGCTGAGCTGCTGCTCAGGGTGAAACTACCACAGACCCACACATCCCTTAGTTTCCCTGACCAGTTTTTCTCCTTCTCCCCCAGTATTTCTCCGTGGACCCAGTAGCTGCCTCCATCATGGAGATCCACACCTTCAATAAGGACCGGGAGAAAGTACGTGTGGGTCTGGAGACCATGGCCAAGTAAGTGGGGACCAAGGAGGTTGTCCCTTCTCTGCAGGGCCCACAGGCAGGTGGATTTTCTTGCTGTGCTTCAGCCAAATCCTGAATTAGAACCCAAGCCACATACTTGAACCATTTTAAGTGTCAGTTGAAACAAGGTCAGCATCTTAGAGGTGTTTTAAGAGTTGGTCCACTTGTCCCAAGAGGGTTGAGATCAGCCCACCCCCATCTTCTGTCCGACTTGGGGATGAAACACTGTTGTATTTGACTTTCTTCAGTTTTCAGCTCTTTTTTTCTGTGAAAAATACTGTGAGGTCTTCCAGGCTTTTCTTACTCCTTGGGGTAGCACGTCCTGAAGTGCCTGCTTTGATCCAAATGCTCCTCTTTCTGCAGGTACTTGGACAATATCTATCTCCATCCAGAGGAAGAGAAATACCGGAAAATCAAGCTGCAGAACAAAGTGTTTCAGGTGAGGTGAAGGCTCCTGGAGATGCTCTGCCGTGGAATGTCCTTGCCTGGAGCAGGCTACATTGAAATTCTTTCCTTTTCTTCCAGGAAAGGATAAGCTGCCTGGAAGGGATACACAGATTTTTCCAGGCTATCGGGTTTGAGACAAAAACACTGCCTGTTCCAGGACAAGGCAAGAAATCTCAGTGTATTAAACTGGAAGCACCAGTTTGAGTGGTGGTGGGACACCCCAGGGGAGGCAGCTCTGGTTGCCAAGAGCTCCGTGGGCTCTACCAAAGGCTGCTACTCCGAGGCTGTGACAGAAACAGTCACTCAACCCTGTTAAAACACTACATTTTGTGGAGATCCTTGCCCTTCTATTCCCTACGTCGCTCCTGTAAAGAACAAGAGCCTCAAATCTCATTTTTTTGGTTACAGACACCCCCGAGGAGTACTATGTCCTGAAGGAAGAAATGCTGACCAAGCTGGAAGACCTCAAGGACTACAAAGAGCAGCTTTTGAGCTCGGAGCCCGTGCGAGCCCAGCTGGATCGCCAGCTCTGTGTATTTAAACCCTCCCCTCAAGCTGCTCGCTTCGAGCTGCCAAACGACTTCTACAACCTCACAGCAGAAGAGATCAAACGAGAGCAGCGGCTCCGGTGAGCAGAGGAGGGCTCCCCACCACCCAGGGGGCACGTGGTGTGAGCAAGGAGCTTCCTACCTCTCCTTAGTGCTAAAAATTGCTATTTTTTTCTCCTCTAAAGGACAGAAGCAGTGGAGAAGGCTTCAATGCTGAGGACGAGAGCCATGCGAGAGAAAGAAGAACAAAGGGAGATGAGGAAGTACAACTACACCCTGCTACGAGTCCGGTTTCCCGATGGATACATCCTCCAAGGTAAAAAAAAATTAAAAAAAAAGACTTCTTACCCTTTCTTTGTGCTCCAAAAGCTTCTGAGAATACTTGAGAGCTTGAATAATAAGCAGGATCGAGGTGGGTTGAGTGCAGCTGGTGAAATAAAGCAATAAAAACCAGAGTGGGGTGATACTTCTGTTAAGAATTCTTCACTTCTCCGAGCACTGCCCCTGTCCGGGGTTGGGACTGCGAGGGGTTGAGGGAAGGATCTCAAGGTGCTGTTAATTAAAGCGTGCTCTTCCCAGGCTGCTGCGAGCAAGCTGGACTCATTAGATGGGTTTGTTAAGAGGAACCAGCGTGAGGTCGCCCGTGTGGTGTCAGGCCTTACAACAGGCTAAAAATCCTCTTCACGTTTGGCAGTGGAACTCTGGAAATCATTTCCCAGCTCTTTGTGATGGGCTGGCAGGGGCTCGTGACAATTGAAATCCTATTTTTTTTCTTTGGGGATTCTGCTTTTATACTTCTGGGCTGTTTCCGTGTCGCTGAAGTAGTTCGTAAAGTACCCGAGCCCCACGAAACCTACCGCAAAAAAGGTTAGATTTGGTAAATGCCAGACTCTCTCTCAATATCTCTCACCTTGTTTCCTCATGGCAGGGACTTTTTATGCACGGGAATCGGTGTCTGCACTCTACAGCTTTGTGAGAGAGGCTCTTAGAGATGACTGGCTGCCCTTTGAGCTCTTGGGACCTGGAGGTGTCAAGCTGACTGATGAGAACTTGGCCTTCAATGAATGTGGGCTGGTAAGTGGAAAAAAAGAAAGAGCTGGTCCCTTCCACGGGGGGTCTTTGGATTGTCAGAGCCATCTGCTGCTCAGAACTTTGTGTCTTGTGCTTTCGGTGCCAGAAGTTGTGCTCTGGCTCCTTCCTTTTTTAACCCAAGAAAATAAGTTAATGGTTGAAGGCTTCTGGCCCAAGGTTAGGAGGTCTGGAAGGAAGGGCAAGGATAGACCTCCTGTGGCAAACACTCTGCCAGGGGCTCAGCATCCACACTGGGGAGAGAGGGAAGGTGGCAACTGAGGCAAGCACGGCTCTAGCACAAGGCTACCACCAGGAAGCCCAAAGCAGCATCCACCACAAGGAGCTTCTTGCAGAAATCAACATTTGTCCTGTTTAGTTGAAGTGCTTTAAGTTTTTCCAGGTCTGTGAACGCACACAGTTAGACACATGTTACAAGGTCAAAGTATAGGGCCACGGAGATGCTCTGGGGAGACCTTGGAGCCCCTTCCAGTCCCTCAAGGGGCTCCAGGAAAGCTGGGGAGGGACTCTGGATGAGGGAGGGGAGCCCTAGGAGGAGGGGGAAGGGTTTGACCCTGAAAGAGGGGAGATGGAGCTGAGCTGTGGGGAAGAACTTGTTTGGTGTGAGGGTGGTGAGAGCCTGGCCCAGGTTGCCCAGAGAAGCTGTGGCTGCCCCATCCCTGGAGGGGTTCAAGGGCAGGTTGGAGGGGGCTTGTTGGAGCAACCTGGTGTGGTGGGAGGTGTCCCTGCCCAGGGCAGGGGGTGGCACTGGGGGGGCTTTAAGTTCCCTTCCAACCTAAACTATTCGATGATTCTCTAGAAGAGAATATTAAGCTAGAGCTTAATAACTCTGCCTTTTCTCTCCCAGGTGCCCTCAGCTCTCCTGACGCTGGCCTGGGATGCAGGGATCATGGCAGACATTCAGGCAGTGGGAGAGGAGCAGCCAACAAGCCCCCTGAAACCAGAACTTCTCTCCAGAGTCCAGACACTGGCATGAAATAAAGAGGAGTGGATGTAGTGCTGGTGGTTTTAGACTGTTCCCTCCTTTTCCCCTAGAGACTGGTGGAGCTTCCAGCTACGGGACCTCAGAAATGACTTTTTTTTTAGCTCTGCAGGGTGGGAGTCTAGATTCTGCCACGTCACACCAACCCCGCAGTCACCTCCACAACTCCAGTAGCCAAACACTAAAGCAGTCTGGCCCAGTAAGGCACTCACGGGACTGCTCTGAATGGCTTAAAAATAATAAAACAAACAGTTCTAGCAGTGAACTGCTTGGGGTGTTTCCAGGACAGTGAAGAAGCACCACTCTCCTCCCTTGGAGGAGGGATGAGGTGCTTGTACCCATGGACTGAGCCTGGATACGGGGCTGGGCTTAGAACTCAGCTTGTCCTTTTGCTTCTGTGTGCACTGTAACTCCTATTGGAGAGAATCTATTTAGATAAGATCATGCTTAGTCTGATTAAATGGAATATTTAAAGATTGGGTTCTGTTCAGAGTTGTTTGAATTGCATTGCTCTGGCAGGTTTGAAGGGCAGATGAGCTCCAGTCAGTGCTGGGGCTGGCACTGGGGTTACTGGTGTGGCATTACCCACCTTTTCACTCGGTGGCACCTGCAGACAGAAGGAGGGACAGGGAAGGAGACAGGCATTACCCCCCTTTTCACTCGATGGCACCTGCAGACAGAAGGAGGGACAGGGAAGGAGACAGACGACAGGAACAGCTCCTGCTGAGAGATCACACCTCTAACTACAGCCAGTATTTTAGGGAACTCACCAATTCCAAGCCATATGAAGTTAAAAACCCCAGAAATGATGCTACTCCAGTCCTTAATACTTCAATCTTTAAGTTTTTCTGCGGGGTAGAGACCACTTTTTATATATACAGCTTCCATTGCAGCAATGCGTACAGGAGACTGGTAATCTATTGCTACCCGATGTCTAATTAATACCAGCCTATCCCAAAACAGGAGAAAAGTCAGCTTTTTTTTCCCCTTTTCCAAAAGTAAAGCCCTGCTGCTGTTCTCTGTAGCAAGGAAGACCACAAACAGGATGATATAGATAGCATAAATTCAAATATAATTGTACATCATTTATACCCAAGGCCGTGCTATACAACATTTATGAACAGAGTCATTCCCCCAGTGGCATCACAATAAGCTTATTTCAAAATCCCTCCACTAGTTTCAGAGATAACTTAGATACCTTCCATTACAAAGAAGTATCAAAATTTCAATAATGCTTTATTAAGGACAGATTAATATGCAGTTTTGTTTTTTTTCTTTTAAGCTAAAAACTAGAACTAACAATTTAAGCTTCCATCTGGTCCGAAGCAGAACAAAGTGCTGTCTTTACAAGAAATATGGAATACTTTCAAGTATTTTGTTCAAAGATACACAAGGTTTAAAATTTTCTAATTCATTCTACATACATACAGAGAAGTTAGTAGGCATTTATGTCTCAAACTGTATTAGATGGGCTGACCGTGCTGGTGTCCTGGTGAGGGGCTCTTGTCCCACTGGGTTCTGAAATTGGTTCAGGATCTGCCAATGTAGAACCTGCAAAGTAGAAGATGTGTTAATTTGGGGTTTTTTTTTGGTTTTGTGTTGGTTTTATGGTGTTTTTTTTTAAATATCCTCATTAATCTTATAGAACTTGACTAAGCTTCCATCTGGTCCGAAGCAGAACAAAGTGCTGTCTTTACAAGAAATATGGAATACTTTCAAGTATTTTGTTCAAAGATACACAAGGTTTAAAATTTTCTAATTCATTCTACATACATACAGAGAAGTTAGTAGGCATTTATGTCTCAAACTGTATTAGATGGGCTGACCGTGCTGGTGTCCTGGTGAGGGGCTCTTGTCCCACTGGGTTCTGAAATTGGTTCAGGATCTGCCAATGTAGAACCTGCAAAGTAGAAGATGTGTTAATTTGGGGGTTTTTTTTTGGTTTTGTGTTGGTTTTGTGGGTTTTTTAAAAAAATATCCTCATTAATCTTATAGAACTTGACTACTTTATCTGTCTTAGCTCGCCTGCCCCTATCTGTTGCAAGTCTCCTTTTCAATACTATTTAAAAAAACGCTTTTAAATATTGGGTTAACATCAATCCAGAATAAAATGACTTCACCCATAAGAAGAATCTTCATAATTTTTTCAGTGCTTTAGACTCAGGCGGAGTTAAACAAATACAACTGTGTGTGTGTCAACAGAGCTCGAGGAAGGCAGGCTCCTCAACACCATCCTCATCCTCGGAACGAGGGGTTACAAACCTGAAGCAAGGCTTTCATCTCCCTGCCTGCTCGTAATAAGCAAAAGCAGCTTAAGATTAATTGCAAAATTCTTGTCGAACTGTTAAATTGTCTGTTATGGCAGAGAGGAGGAACGTAGCACCAGCTGAGATAGAAAGGAGAACACAAATAGGTCTAGAAAAGGTCAAACACTACAGAATTTAAGGCTTTGGGAATATGCACAAGCCCTTATCTATCAATTAGAGGAGCTGCCCAAAAAAACCCCATTTTCTGTAATTCTGGTTGCACCAGGAGCATTGTGACAGAGCTCCAGAATGAGCTCCATCGTGAGCGTGGTAAGAAAGGGCCAGGAGGTTTTGGAGAGAGGTTGAGGGAGCTGGATGCAGCCAGCCTGGCTGGTGTTAAGTCACTGATCTGTAGGATGGAGAAGGCAGAGTTAAAACCCGGTGGAGATGAAAGGAGCCGCTCTCTGCATCCTCATCCTTCTGCATCCTCATCCCTCTCCGAAAAGACACGCTGCCTACAAGCAGCAGAGCTTTCAAAGCTCTTCTCTGAGGAATAACTGGGACACAAATACAAGCAACTGCTTGGATTCTAGAGCAAAAGCCTTGATCAGAGCCCTCACCTGCCAGACATCTGAGAGCCTGGTTATTATCTGCTGTTATTTCCTTCAGAACAGACAATTCAGGCTTCAAGGAATCACAGACTCACAGAATCTTAGTGGTTGGAAGGGACCTCTGAGATCATTGAGTCCAACCACAGGAGAAAAAAAAAAAAAAAAAAAAAACAACAAAACAAAACAAAAAAAAAAAAACCAAAAAAAACCGCCACAAAA